TCTTTTGTTCAATATTTGACCATCTCGGTCGAGCGCATGAAGCGAAATGATTGTGCTTGCGTATATTTTCGTAGCTCGAACCAAAAGTGAAGAGCCGAGCAAATACGAAGTGGTCTGGGAGATAACTCTCGAAAAAATGTGTGCAAAACGCTTTACACTACTTGTCCGGTCTATGTGTTCTGTGGTTAGTGATACTACCCTGAACCAAACTAATAACAAGTAAGAAGGCTCTAGTCGAGACTGCTCGACTAGGAGATACCCTGAACCTCTAAGCTGATATTCTAATCATTCTGCATTTATTTTATGCACACACATGCATCCACACGCACGCATAAGCCTGCGCTCTGCTAACTGCGCAGTACGCAGCGACTGCGCTTGGGCTGCGCTGCAGTGTGGGCAATATTATGAGAATTTATTTGTCAAACAATTTCTTTTGTAGACATACGATCTTAATGAAATGATCAGAGTGTAATCATATGGTGAATATGTGTTTACATTCCAAAGCACAAGTCTCTAGTATTTTTTTTTTTCAATGGGTTCAGGGTATAAAAATGATATTATGGCTAAAATTTCAATTTCAATGTATTTAAAAATATAAATGAAATACAAAACTCATTAAATAAAATATATAAATATTTTGAAATATTAAAAATCTAACATCAGTTGCACAGCTCGAGACTCGAACCCGCGACTTCTCAGAAGCAGTGTTTGAAAAGCTGACATTCACAGCAGCAACAGTCGTAAAATTTGGTCTGTGCTGTGCTTCTGCAGCCAACAGTTTTCGCAGTTCAGTTATTGCTTAAACTGTTGCTACGAGCATTTTCGACAGTCGCAGTCGCAGCAAAAGCAAAAACATTTCTTGATCAGCAGCGCAGCGCTTCGGGAATCGACAGCTTCGGCAGCTTTGAGAATGCTAGAATTGATGCGTGAACTGGCGACAGTCGCAGTCGCAGCTAGAGCAAAAACTATCGACTGCCGAACACCACAGCAGACAGCTTCCACAGTTTTTGCTTTGCTTTGTGCGTCATGAACGAAATGAATGAAAATTAACAACATTTTAATTATTTATTTATAATGGCGATTATTTATTTTTTTATTCTTCATCTTCTTGAAAGAGCGGCAGGTTGTCAATTGCTGTTTCCAGGAAGCTAGGATTGAGCTTCACAAGCAATATATTTTCCAGCGACTCTGCACTTAAACGATTGCGATAATCGGTTAAAACCAGTTTAAGTGTGGAAAATGCACGTTCAATAGTCACCTATTAATAAAAACATAATTTTAAGTAAACTTTAAAAAGTAAAGTTGTAGACAAGTACACACCTGAGTGGGTGGTATTGCAAAACAAACTTTGCTTAATGCATATAGCTCGGGATCAGTGAGCTGCTTCTCTTTCCAAAATTGTAAAATGTTTGCATCACTTCTGACAAAGGAAAGCTGCAAATTTTCAATTTTCGCGTGTACATCGGTTGTGCTACTAGCCTTGACTTCAATATCCTGTGTTAAATATTCATTTAACAATTCATCTTCAATGTCATAAAAGTCAACGTTAGAATGATGGGAAGTTGAATTAGTTGTAAAGCCCGCCACAACGCCTTAATTGACCTCAACTATCCGAGCCCATAAAGATTTCAAATATTTTACAGCTTCATTTCTTTCTATTCATGAAATGGTATGATGAAACCGAGGATCCAAGTATAAACAGGCAACTAAACTATCATTGCGCATTAAATTATTTGTACGTTTTCTAAAAGATTCCAATATTTTTTCACCAATTTGTTTCGTAAGTGGCTGGGTTGCATCTTGTATAATTTTTTGAGTGCATATTTTGCACTTTAGCCACTGCGCATAAAAATTACCATAATGTAATTGCTCCTGTTTAAATATTTTAATAGTTTTTTGTAGCGGATTAAAAATGAGAGTGTAATTATCAATGAACTCCCAAAAGGAGTCAATTTCGAAATTTTAATTTTAATTGATTCAATTTTCATTAGCACGTCCTTTGCTGCTTTTAAATTTTCAATCATTGTGTACGTTGAACCCCATCTAGTTGGGCAGTCCAGTTGACGCATCTTCAGTGTTTCAAATTCAAAATTTTCACGAAATCCGTTAGATGGTTTTCGAATATATTTCGTCAAATTACGACAAGTGAATAAGTATTTTGTGATGGCTGAAAATTTAGTCACATCTAGAGCGCAAAGCTGCGCAGTATGAGCAGCACAGCGACAAACTTGAATATTGCCCAATGTCATCTCTGGCATTTCTTCTATGAGATCGATTTTTTTTTTAAGTATTCGTCACTACTGTAAACTTCATTTTCTTCGATTTCTTCTCCGGACACAACAGACAATATTTTCGTTGCTTTAAGCATATTCGCGCCATTATCAGACGTAACTGATACTATCTGCTTTAGATTTACTTCATATTTTGTTAATATTTTAATAATTTCCATAGCGAGGCTTTTGCTTGTGCTACATCCGTCACCTTTTAGTTCGACCATCCCTAAAATACGGGATTTTACTTCCAGTTCGCTAATAAATTGCGCACTTATTCCAAAAATGTTTCGAGATAGCCGCGAAGCACTGTCAATTTTAAGTGAAAGTAATTTGTTTTTCAATTCATATTTCATGTCTTTGCGTAGATTATTAGCAACAATCTCTAAAGTTTTCTTGCAATTTGATGCGTTTAAACAAATTGATTTTCCGTCGGTTGCCTTGAAGCCGTCACAAATTGGGTTTAAAATATTTCGCATATTATCAGAATTTAACACATTGAACGGTATGGAGTCCTACGTAACGAGCCCAATGTATGACCTTATTAGTTGCTTTTTGTTCATTTAAATTTAAATTTTTTTTTTTCGTATAATTTTAGACGACGAACAAATAGAAGAGTTTTCCGACAGTTCGGAAGGAGGAGTCGTTTTCAAATGATGTACATTGACAACATGAGCTTTTAAATTTGAAATTCGATTGGTTTTCAGTTTGCTTTTGCATGTTTCCTCATTGGTATCAAAATCCCTCCAAACATCACATTGTTTATTACGTGACATTTTTGCTGTTGCTCGGATGCACATTAATACAAGACTACGCCTACGATCTGTTTCATTGCTACAAAAGTATGCCGCAAGTGACTTCGGCAATTACAGTTACAAAAGTTACCAAAACAAAGCAAGGCAAAAACTGTGGAAGCTGTCTGCTGTGCTGTTCGGCAGTCGACAGTTTTTGCTCTAGCTGCGATTGCGACTATCGCCAGTGAACGCAGTTCGAAGCGCTGCGCTGCTGATCAAGAATTGTTTTTTGCTTTTGCTGCGACAGCGACTGTCGCCAGTTCACGCATCAACAGTTCTAGCATTCTCAAAACTGCCGAAGCTGTCGATTCCCGAAGCGCTGCGCTGCTGATCAAGAAATGTGTTTGCTTTTGCTGCGACTGCGACTGTCGAAAATGCTCGCAGCAACAGTTCAAGCAATAACAGAACTGCGAAAACTGTTCGCAGTTTTTTAAACACTGCTCAGATGTAGTTTGAAAGACAGAAAGGCTCATTTGACAGTCACTCTACAGTTCAATCCATACAAAATTGACAAACTACTGAATCGCCAGACAATTATTATCCCATCTCATACATACATACACATATGTATGCAAATGTATCAACGGTAAATTTTGGCATTACAATTTGCTCAGGCAGCAAGAGTTACGCACACAGGCCACAAATGCTCACACATGTTTCCAGAGACTGAAAGTGTGTGTGTTCTTGCCCATCGCGAAATCATATTCTTTATGCGTATCAACGCTTTCATACCCTTCCCAAGAATAACCATCGAATCGCTTACATTTTCTTTGCATGAGCGTGACAAACGCTTTTATGATTTCGGTATACCCTTCACTCAAAAGGAAAGAGCTGGGAACGTCGCGAACAATTTTCAATTTCTGTGCGCTGCTGCTATTTGAGAGACCATAGACAGAGATAGAGTGAGAGAGAGTAGGACAATTAGCGCATAGCCGTGCTTCACATAAGAATGGCACCATTTCGTTTGAGCGCTTGCAGCACACTGATTTTGTCGTGCAATATTTTCACTGCTTCAGCCTCAAGACACTGAGCCGAGCAAATACGAAGTTGTGTAGTCTCCTCAGCGCATTTTTTCGGTGTTGAAAAAGTTTGTTCTACATGTCTAGTCTATGTGCTCTCTGGTAAGTGGTATGGTACACACGAGTATGCACGTCAAATTTCACCTCTCTAGCTCTTAAAACTTCTGAGATCGATGCACTCATACGGACGGACGAACGGACGGACGGACAAACGGACAAGGCTATATCGAGTCAGCTCGTCGTGCTGATCAAGAATATATATACTTTATGGGGTCTGCGATGACTCCTGCCCGTTAGATACTTCTCACAAAACCATTATACCCTGATTTCCCATTTTCAATAGGTTCAGGGTATAATGATCGATATATGTATCTAATTTTTACTAATTCGAACGAGAGTTCGAGTCAAAAATAAGGTCAAGAATTTTGTTATATCTTATATATACATACATATATCCTTCCAGATATACCAGCTTTTTGTGCTCTAGAATAAATGGCAACACTGTAAACAATGCGCGCGCAAATACTATGTTTATCGAGGGAGTCACACCCACATGCAACGACTATAAAATACCCTTTATGAAACATAAATTTATAATTCGATTATGTTTGATGTATTTTATTAACATGTTTACCAATAAAATAAAAAACAAAATTGGTACATTTAATGTAACAGTTAATTTTAAATACCTTTTATATTTTATCATAACAATTATATTAAAACTCAAATTTTGTGTACTTAAAATATATAAATATATATATATATCATTTACACTTTTAATAATTATATCAGTTTTATATCATTAATGGTATACAATAATTATGAACATTTTTTTAGTTTATCATCAATTTCTAAATGTGCATCATACAAAGTGTTTTAAAACCAACTATTCCTCGCTTTTGTCTTTTAAAGGGTAGAGAAACAATTGTGGAAAAGAACTGTACAAAGTATCGTTTGTTCTTATCAGAGCGGAAAATTGTCCTGTTAATTTTATTCCTTAGTCGACTTTTATATCCTAAATAAGTATAAATATACTTATAAGTGCAAGATTTATTTTAATCAACGCTAAAAATCTATTTAAATCAAGTAAGTTAAAAAAATTGAAAAATATTCTTAATTACACTATGGGTAAAAATAATAGATAAATGTAGGTGAATGTTCGATTTTCATTTAATATAATTTTTTATGTTAAACAATCGTATTCTTATCTTCAATTAGATTTATTAAATATGCATACAGTCATTCTAAAAAGTGCGCAGAATCAATAACAATATCATGCGTTTAATTACATACATACATACATAGATAATTTTTCACCCCTAAAATCAATATTCTTTTCCTATTTTTTAATATTCTACTTAATATTGTCGAATTACAAAAATTTTTAGATTGACCTATGTACGAAATACATCCACTACAGTAATGCGCATACACTTATGATACGTTTTTTCCCTGTTCGTTACGAAATAAAATATGTTTCATTCCATTCTTATTACGCTTGCTGACTTAAGCTTTAAAATAAGCTATACACCGACAGATGCGTCTAGCTATGAATGTATGTATGTATGTTCATGCGTTTATATGCATGTTAGCTTCTCCGTCTGTCCATACATACATATGTATGTATGTATGGACATACATTCCTGTATATACACATTCCTGTATACATACATACATATATCCATAATACGCTATTATACACATTCGAGGTTGCTATATTTTTCGATGGCTTATTATACCCTGAACCCATTGAAAATGGGAAATCAGGGTATAATGGTTTTGTTAAAAGTATGTAACACGCAGAAGAGCGCGTGGCAGAACCCATAAAGTATATATATTCTTGATCAGGGCGACGAGCTGAGTCGACTTAGCTCTGTCCGTCTGTCTGTCCGTCCGTCCGTATGTATGTAGCGCGTCGACCTCTGAAGATATAAGAGCTTGAAACTTGAAATTTTGTTTCCTAGGTCCGTGTATACCACGCGCATATCGAGTTTTGTTTTAAATATTGATAACTTGCCCCGTTATTATGTTATCGATTAAAAACATTATCGAAAACCAGTAATAAATTTATATCTCCCGCATTTTTAAAGCTAGAGTCACAAAATTGTATATGTATACTTATATGCATTTTATACAATTTTGGTTATTGTCAAAATTTATTCCCCTCCCCCTAATTCACCCCCTTACCTTCACCTTTGTAAAAGGCGTAGTTCAAATACTAGGGACTTGTGCTTTGGCAAACACATACATGCATATCTATGTATGTTAGATTGATAATCTGAAGTTTCACCCACAATTTCATTTCTAGACGGACAATCCTAATGAAACTTTCAGAGCGTAATCATATGGTGAAAATGTATGTACATCCAAAAGCACACGCCTTTTACAAAGATGATGGTGAGGGGGTGAATATAGGGGTGGCGGGTAAAATACAACAAAAATCTAAATTATATATAAATCTACATTTAAAATTTGGAAGCTCTAGCTCTAAAGGTATAGGAGATATAATTAAATAACTAGCTTTCGATAAGGTTTTTAATCGATAATAAAATATCGGGAGTAGTTATCGCTATTTAGAGAAAAACTCGATATGCGCGTGATATACACGGACCTAGGAAAAGAAATTTAAAGACTTCAGCTCTTATATCTTCTGAGATCGACGCGTTCATACATACAGACGGGCGGACGGACGGACAGACAGACGGACAGGGCCAATCAGCTGGTCGCTCTGATCAAGAATATATATACTTTATAGGGTCTGCCACGCCTCCTTCTGCCTGTTACATACATTTAACAAAACCATTATACCCTGATTTTCCATTTTCAATGGGTTTAGGGTATAACAAGTAAGAGAGTTTCATGAAGAGTCGGGCGTTACCGACTGCGGAATACTCATTCACATCCCATCAACAATAAAGTAGTTAAGTTTCGCTCTAATACTGTAGAATATACAAGTTTTTCCGATTTGCCACGCCCCAACTGGGCGTAGACACCTCATTTGTAGTCAGTTTTTAGAACGTGATAACGGTACACTAACTGCAAAGTTTGAATGCTTACCCTCAAAAAATGTGCAAATTACAGGGTATTTTTCGATACGCCACGCCCCTAAAGAGGCGTAAAAATTATTTTTGGGTCATCGATAGAAGAGGTTACTGGTAACTTAACTCTCTAAATTTGAAGCTTTTAGCTATTATACTTTAGGAGATATCAACTTTTGCGGGTTGCCACGCCCCCTGTGGGCGGACATATATCCGACAAAGCTTTTTGGTCTTGGGTGATCAGCCCGAGTATATATACAAAATTTGAGGTCTCTGGCATCAATAGTGTCCAAAATAGAGCAGAATTTAAAAAATCACTATATCTTCAGGTCCGATTTGCCACGCCCCTAATGGGCGTAGACTTATAAATTGTCTTTTGACTTTAAAGAATCATAACATTAGCAGACGTGCAAAATTTTAGCATTCTAGGTTTAAAACTTTAGGAGATACAGTTTTAGCCGATTTTTTACGCCCCCAATAGGCGGAGATATATCCGCCATAGCTCGTGATCTTGGGTGGTCGACGCGGACCTACGTACCAAATTTCAGCTTTCTAGCTTCAACTAACATGATTTCTGGTATATCGGAAAATGCATTTTCCGATTTGCCATGCCCCTAGTGGGCGGATCGGGAAAATTTTAACACTTTATAAATCGGAGATATACACGAGTATGTGTTCCAAATTTCAAGTCTCTAGCTTCAATAGCGCCGAAATAGATTGCGTTCATACGGATTCACTTTCGTGAATCAGTATAAAAATATGTATACAAAATTTTAAGTTGATATATGAGAAAATCCCGTATATGGGAACTAAGCGTATACGTAATCTCAAATGAAATTGTAAAAGCTTTAAAAAATATGCAACAATTTTTAATAAGCATGGTATTTTTTAATCTCTTATGTAATAAGCTAGTAAAGGAATTCATGACTTCATTAAATGATACTTAATAACAGATCTTAATTTATATATTTGACTATAAAACTCATTCGAACAATTTATTGCAAAATTAGTACAAATAAGTCAAATGCATATCGATTAATATCATCCATATCAGCATCATCACAATCGTCATTACAACTGTAATCATCAGTTAAATGTTGAATATTTGAGAGGGTATCAAAATGGGGCGTATCTAAGAGCTCTATGACATTAAGCGGATGGGTTTGAGTTTTATAACGGGCTGCTTTTTGTTTTTAAAAGCTATGCTAGAGATGAGGGGAGAAGAGCCCATGGATCTGTGCAATACATTCATCATATTATCCGTGTCGAGCATGCAATAGCCGGTCATGCTTGTAAAATTTTGTTGTTACCCAAGACAGCCTACCGGCATCACTGATGAAGTTATTATTTGTGATCTATGATCTAAACTTTTAATTATAATTTTTTTTCTTAGGTCCGTATAAAGCACGCGCAGATCGAGCTCATCACAAAACATCGATAACTAGCCCCATATTTTGTTATCGATTAAAAACATTATCGAAAATCAGTAATTTATATCTCCTACATCTTTAAAGCTATATGCATTTTATACAATTTAGGTTTTTGTCAAAATTTACCCCCCACCCCTAATTGCCCCCCTCACCCTCACGTTTGTAAAAGGCGTATTTCAAATACTAGGGACTTGTGCTTTGTAAATACATGCATATCCATGTTGTCATCATAATATGAAAGTTTCATGAAAATGTATATGCATGTGCATGTATATGTGAAGACGCGAAAAATGATTGAAACAGCTATTGCTCGAAGGGTTCAGAGGATCTCGTAGTCGGGCAGTCTCGACTAGAGCTTTTTTACTGGTTTTCCTTTTAATCTCACTTATATTTTCATTTGTAAGCGAGTATTCCGTCAATAGGTCAAATATCCAGTTTGTCAGTACGATTATGTTGCGGCCGCTGTCAATCCATACGTATAGTAGCGTTGCATGACAGAACCTAAGCTGATCTACAAATTTAAAGTAGCTCAAGAGCGCAAGAGGATTATTTCTAACTTTTAATGCATACTTTTTACTTCATTTTAACCGACATTTCATATCGCAGAAACATGCAGAGGATAAAATTCTACTCTACAGAAAGTTCTACTCTAACACATTGCACTGAATTTCTGTCTTTTTAGACTATACAAAACAATATAAATATATAACATGTAGAAAATTTTAACACACATTTTTTCTTTGTTATTTATTCTACATACTCTGGCTTTTGAAGCTGAATCACAAAGATAGGGTTGCATTTTAAGCAAAACATTTATTGATCTTTCATATATAGGCAATCTACTTTGAATACATTGGAATATAACTTTTAATTGGTACCATGAAATTTTCGACTTTATGCCACATGTTTGGCAATTCCGCCCATGTGATTTGGAGAGTTTGAGTCGATATTGTCGCTTTTCTCTTCAGCTGCACTTTCAGTCGCCGTTGCAGTCTCCGCAGAAGAAATATCATCTAAGGGTCAAACTTACATATGTATGTATGTATAGGTATATATACTGGATTGCATAAATAGTTCCACGCTGCATTGTAGTTACCCACACCAATTGAGAAATGGCTTATGACTCGTTGACCGTCTCTTTTGAGATACATTTTTAGGTATATCAGTTTCGTCTTGTCGCTGATACCCTTTCTGTTGTGAATAATTCTGGTGAACTGCTCGAAGAACTTCTCCACTCCTTTGGACTTCCATTAAAGTGAGGAAGTGTCAGATAGGCTTATCATATTTTACCTCCAAAATAGGCGTTGACTGGACTTTGTTCTAGAGGAAATCTAGCATTTATTTATATCTAAAGATTTCCTCCTGGTTGCTGATCTCAATGTTGGCCTACACCCCTTCAATGTGAGGCCTTACTCTTTGAACTCTTTTTTCCACAAGGTTTACCAACTCCTCCATTGTGGTCGAACCACCAAATGAAGCCATTTCCTTCTTTGATGTCTCCGGTCTCGTTTCCCAGCTATAAAGTTGGTCTGTGTCTATGGCGTGGTAACTTCGACTTTCATTGATTCTTTATAGGTCATATTTATGCCATTATGCTTTCATATATTTCTCTTTAAATATTGATGGTTGACGACACCCAGTTGATAACCGTTAATGATGGTTCTGTTCTGAGGCGTGGCAGACTCAACAACATATATTTTTGATCAGGGCGACGAGCTGAGTTGATTTAGCCCGGTCCGTCTGTCTATCCGTCCGTCTATCCGTATGTATGATCTTCGTATATTCGTATGTTCACGCCTGAACATTCTGCGGCGGGCCAAGGTGTATAGCATCCAGTAATGACATTTCACTTTCAATTAATTAATTTAATTTAAGTGAAACTAAAATCAGCCTTTATAATACTAAAATCGTCAAATTGACTCTTAATGAATAAATGAAATTCCTACAATAATTTTATACAATTATAAAACTTAAAGAATAATCTATGTTTATAAGTGCGCTTAACAGACCGGTAATCTTTGTATATTACGCAAAGATTAAATTTAATATTTTTGTTAGCGTCTGAATATACTTTTCGAAAAATATAGTGTACTATTAAGAAAGAAGTTTCCTATTTATATGAATATTTTATATAATAATTTCAAAACTATATTTTGAATTCTGTATTGCTGTTAATTATTAATTTTTTTAAAATCTATAATCTATTGTATTTAGGATGCCAGCGGAGCCTTCGGATGAAATACCTGGTCCACAGGTCCCAAAAACAGAACTTGAAGAATTGCAGATTAAGTCGCAGAGTGTTGCTGATGAGGTAACTACTATTTTAATTTTAATTTACTATTTATGAAGGCCTGCAAAACCGAATGAATCGAGTTATTAGATTATAGCATATTAGTAAGTACATCTGAACGCCCGTATTCTCTTCTATCCTTATGAACGAAAGCTATTTAATAATTATTGAAGATTGTTTGATAAAATGTTAAAACTATTTCTCTCTAATAGTTACTTTCACGTGAGTCTTAGACTTTTCGGTATTTCAGCAACAAATTTATCTTGTAAAAATTTTAAATTTCTATAAACTTTTTTGCATTTTAGAATGTACAAGTAACGTTGAGCAACACAAAAGGCAGACCTCACAAAGTATATATATTATTGATCAGGGCGACGAGCTGAGTCGATTTGGCCCTGCCCGTCTGTCTGTCCCTCCGTCTGTCCGTCCCTATATTCACCCCCTCACCCTCACATTTGTAAAAGGCGTATTTTAAATACTAGAGACTTGTGCTTTGAGAAATGCATGCATGTCCATGTTATAATCATAATCTAAAAGTTTCATGAAGATTGTCCATCGACAAAAAAAGTTATATAATAATTAAGTTCCCGTATTAGGCCACCACTGCACTATAGGAAACAAGTAGGAACGTTGCAGTCGGGCGTTACCGACTGCGGAATACTCATTCAAATCCCGTCAACAATTTTGTAGTTAAGTTTCGTTTTGTAGTTAAGTTCTAATACTGTAGAAAGTACAGGCTTTTCCGATTTGCCACGATCTACTGGGCGTAGATACCTTATTTTTGGTCAGTTCTTAGAACGTGATAAGGGTATCCTAACTACAAAGTTTGAATGCTTACGCTCAAATAATGTGAAAATTATAGGGTATTTTTCGATATACCACGCCCCTAAAGAGGCGTAAAAATTATTTTTGGGTCATCGATAGAAGAGGTATCTTAACTATCTAATTTTGAAGCTTCTAGGTATTATACTTGGGAGATATTAACTTTTGCGGCTTGCCACGCCCCCTGTGGGCGGACATATATCCGACAAAACTTCTTGGTCTTGGCGGATCAGCCCGAGATATATACAAAATTTGAGGTCTCTGGCATCAAAAGTGTCCAAAATATAGCAGAATTTAAAAAAATCACTATATTTTCAGGTAGTAGTAAGCGAAACTGAAAATTCAAAAGGAAGACGAAGATAAACATGATCTAGACAATTTGAATATCGAATTAGGTGAAAAATACTAAGGTTATTGATGTTAATTTTCTAAATAATTATATATAAGTGAAAAGAAAAAAATTTTTTTGTTTTTAAATAATTTTACAGGGTACAACTGAATTGTCATACACTTTGACAGTTTTGTATTATATTCTGACTTATTTTAATAATTATACCCTGAACTCATTGAATGAATGGTTTTGTTAAAAGTATGTAACAGGCAGAAGGAGGCATGGCAGACCCCACAAAGTATATATATTCTTGATCAGGGTGACGAGCTAAGTCGATTTGGCCCTGTCCATCTGTCTGTCCGTCCGTCCGTATGTATGAACGCGTCGATCCCAAAAGACATAAGAGCTAGAGACTTGAATTTTTTATACTCATTCACGTAAGTGAATCAGTATATTGGTATTGTGCAATGTCCGTCTTGCTGTCCGTCCGTCCGTCTGTCCGTATGAACGCAATCTATTTCGGCGCTATTGAAGCTAGAGACTTGAAATTTGGAACACATACTCGTGTATATCTCCGATTTATAAAGCGTTAAATTTTTCCTGATTCGCCCACTAGGGGCGTGGCAAATCGGAAAATGCATATTCCGATATGCCAGAAATCATATTAGTTGAAGAGCTAGAAAGCTGAATTTGGAATGTAGGTCCGCGTCGACCAGGCTAGATCACGAGCTATGGCAGATATATTTCCGCCCATTGGGGGCATGGCAAACCGGATAAAACTGTATCTCCAAAATTATAAGTCTACGCCTATTAGGGGCGTGACAAATCGTACTTGAAGATACAGTGATTTTTTAAATTCTGCTTTATTTTGGACACTATTGATGCCAGAGACTTCAAATTTTGTATATATACTCGGGCTGATCACCCAAGACCAAAAAGTTTTGTCGGATATATGTCCGCCCATAGGGGGCGTGGCAAACCGCAAAAGTTGATATCTCCCAAAGTATAATAGCTAGAAGCTTCAAATTTAGATAGTTAAGTTACTGGTAGCCTCCTCTATCGATGCCCCAAAAAGAATTTTTACGCCTCTTTAGGGGCGTGGCGTATCGAAAAATACCCTGTAATTTTCACATATTTTGAGGGTAAGCATTCAAACTTTGCAGTTAGGGTACCGTTATCATGCTCTAAGAACTGTCAAAAAATAAGGTCTCTACGCCCAGTAGGGGCGTGGCAAATCGGTATTCTACAGTATTAGAGCGAAACTTAACTACTAAATTGTTGATGGGATGTGAATGAGTACTCCGCAGTCGGTAACGTCTGACTGCAACGTTCTTACTTGTTTTCCTATAGTGCACTGCAGCCAATGCATGTTTATGCGTGCGTGCGTAGGCCTGTGGGTGTGCATGTGCGAATAATTATTGAAAGATCAGTTGCTCGAAGGGTTCAGGGGATCTCGTAGTTGAGCAGTCTCGACTAGAGTTTTCTTACTTGTTATTGTTCCCCCTCCACCCCTATATTCACCCATCATCCTTCAAAATTGTAAAAGGCGTATTTAAAGTCCTAGAGACTTGAGCTTTGGCAAATGCACGCATTTCAATGTTATAATCACGACCTAAAAGATACATGAAGATAGCCCGTCGACAACCATAGCTCGCAAATAACTGTTAACACTTTTTCGTTGTTTGCAAATAAGTGTCTTTCACTGACACAAGCAAAACAAGTAAGAACGTTGCAGTCGGGCGTTACCGACTGCGGAATACTCATTCACATCCCATCAACAATTTAGTGGTTAAGTTTCGCTCTAATACTGTAGAATATACAGGTTTTTCCGATTTGCCACGCCCCAACTGGGCGTAGACACCTCATTTTTGGTCAGTTTTTAGAAAGAGATAACGGTACCCTAACTGCGAAGTTTGAATGCTTACCCTCAAAAAATGTGAAAATTACAGGGTATTTTTCGATATGCCACGCCCCTAAAAATTATTTTTGGGGCATATATGTCCGCCCATAGGGGGCGTGGCAAACTGCAAAAGTTTATATCTCCTACAGTTTAAGAGCTAAAAGCTTCAAATTTGGATAGTTGAGTTACTAGTAGCCTCCTCTATCGATGCCCCAAAAATAATTTTTAAGCCTCTTTAGGGGCGTGGCGTATCGAAAGATACCCTGTAATTTTCACATTTTGTGAGCGTAAGAATTCAAATTGCATTTAGGTTACCGTTTGCTCGTTCTAAGAACTGGCCATACACATAAATATTCTTAATAGGCATTGATAACACGGAAGGAAAATTGTTCATAAAATTAGTAAAATATAAAAAAGCTAAAATAACAAAAGTTTGCAATTCACAAAAAAGAGTTTTCGCACCTTCCCAATAAAATATATTTTTATAAAAAACGAAATATGTATGAAGAAAAAAAAATAACATCGAAGAGGTTTCGAACCTCCCCTACTCTAACATAATTTGCGTCGCCCTTAGTACCTGCGCCACTGCTTTACTTGATCAGCTAGTTGCTATATAATAGCAATAAGAGAGCGTCATCAGACAAAACTACAGTAACAGCTAGAAAATCCAGAAATCAATCGCAATTCTAAGAATGTGAGAAAAGGCGCGCTTCTGTCTTTTTTTTTTTAAGTCGTTTTAAAATAATTTCTAATATAAATATGTTTTATATTTCAGTCTTTGGAAAGCACGCGGCGAATGCTTGCTCTCTGCGAAGAGGTAAGATACGTTTTACTTGCGTCTTTTAACACTTCATTTTCTGCATTTCTGTCTGCTTGAAATGGTTGAAATTATTGTGACCAGTGATAATAGTATTTGATTACAAATCATTGATATAATTAGGTTTAATATTTACGTTCTAGAATTGAACTCTACAAGACTTTTAGAGTTGCCTACATATAAAATAATTGGCTTCTTAGGCTTGGAATCTTTATCTTTTTCAAATTTGAGAGTTGATATAATTATACCCTGAACTTATTGAAAATGTGAAATCAGGGTATAATGGTTTTGTTAAAAGTATGTAACAGGCAGAAGGAATCATCGCAGACCACCCCAAAGTATATACAGTCGACTCTCGTTATTTCGAAATTCAAGGGACTCCTAAAATATTTCGAACTATCGAATGTTTGAAATATTAAATGGTTCGAAATTTTAAGAGAAAATAAATAAAGCTTTGAATTATCAAGGGTTTTTATTTAACGTAATGTACAAATGCTCAAATTAATTAAGCTTTATAAAGAACTCATTTATACAGGTTTGCTTCGAAGCACATTGCTTCTGTTCAGACTTTTCAATAATTTTTTTAAAGACAAAAAGTGCCTGATATGCTGTTTCATCAGTTTCGTTTTGTAGACAAAAGCTTTGTAAGTTATCCAATGAGGCTCTTGCTACCTTAACTGACACCGTTGCCAAAGGCTCTGATGTATAATCTTCATCGATGCTCTTTTCATTCGTATCAGTCGCAGATAAAATTTTATCATCGGTTAGGGATCCTGAAATATCCACTTGAACATAGTCTTTTGCAACTTCGCTTTTCTTCTCACCTCCTTCTACTTTTCCAATTAGTTTCTTCTTTTCAGCAATCGTCAAACTTTTATACTTTTTAGGACTCTAATTAAAAATTTTAATATGTATACTAACGAAGCGATTCGTGCAAAGCGATTCGTGCAAAATGTGCCTATGTTTTATGCGTAATACGCAACCACGCACAGTAAAGTTAGTTTCAGGGGAATCCCAAAAAAACAAATTCAAAGTTCTTACTTGGAATTGTCGAGTGTTTAACCATATGAGTACGAATTACCGCATCTTAGCAATGATTTTTTAGTTCGAATTACTGAGTGCATAAAAATGTATGGACTTAATTCGAAATATAAAGAGATTTTGTAGGGGACTCGTGATAACTTTGAATTAATAAGAGGTTCGAAATACCGCTGGTTTGAAATAACAAGAGTCGACTGTATATTCTTGATCTGGGCTGAATCGATTTAGCCCTTTCCGTCTGTCTGTCTATCCGTCCGTCCGTCCGTATGAATGAACGCGTCGATATCAGAAGATATAAGAGCTAGGGAGCTGAAATTTTGCTTGCTGCGATACTTAGTACAAGTTTATCATATTTTTCGATATCTTTTGTATCGAGAATAATCGATCAATTGATTTCGTTTGTGCAGCCTAATTGAAACAATAGTAGACCTAGAGACTTCGGATTTACTTTGTACATACATACATTTGATGAATACGAAGATTTTGTAATTTACAGATTTTGGATACGTCGGCCCCTTCGCCAACTAGAGACTTGTGCTTTGGAATGTACGCCTATTTTAACCATATGATCATGTTCTCAAAATTTTATGCCAATAGTTCTACTGTAGGAGAAATTATTCAACAAGTAAATTCTCATGATAGTGCCCACACTGCTTACTGCGCAGTTAGCAGAGCGCGTGCTTACATGCACGTGTGGATGCATTTGTGTGTATGTGTGCATAAAAGAAATGCCGAATGATTAGAATAACAGCATAGAGGGTTCTTCTAGTGGAGCAATCTCATCTAGAGCCTTGTTACTAGTTGTTTTCCAATGTAATTAATGGCTTGCGTCATACTTTTAATTAATAGTTTTTCAATATAGCATTATATTTTCTTTATAGTAAAATCGAAGTTCACAACTAAGCCATTTTCCTTAAGGACTCTGGCATTTGCGTATTTGTTTATTGGTTTTTGCGCATGTCCGTCCGTTTGTTCGCATGAGCGCAATTTTGATTGGCGCTTTTAAAGCTAGAGACTTGACATTTGGAACACATATTCCCGTATACACTCAATTTGTAACGTGTGAAAATATTCCCAATCCGCCTATTAGAGGCATGGAAAATCGGCAATGAATGCTAGAAAGTTAAATTTCGGAATGTAGGTCTGCGTTGACTACCCAAGATAAAACAAGTAAGAATTGTAGAATACTCATTCACATCCCATCAGCAATTTGGTAGCTAAGTTTCGCTCTAATACTGTAGAATATACAGTTTTTTCCGATTTGCCACGCCCCTACTGGGCTTAGACACACCATGGTCATGGTCAGATCATTCTCTAAAAATATATATATAAGAGGCGTAACAATTATTTTCAGGTCATCATACCGTTATTTTGTTATCGATTAAAAACCTTATCGAAAATGATTAATTTAATTATATCTCTTACACCTTTAGAGCTAGAGGTTCAAATTTTATGTTGTATTTAGTATTTATAGTAGTGCTATTTAAGCGTCGTTCCAAGAACTGGCCAAAAATTATTTGTCTACAGCTAAAATCCCAAATCTACTTACTACTGCAACTTTCTTACTTCTTTAAAGAAGTGTTTTTTCCCCCATCTAATTCTCAATTCGCCTCGGCGACGGCAATGCAACTTCACCACAGCGGGAGCTCTCCTCTCTCGCGAGCTTTCACCACGCTGGGCAAGGTTGCACTGTCGATCGCCGACGCTCACCCCACTTTTTTTTTTTTGGCAGACTTTGATCTTTTCATTTTTTTTGTTTTATCAAAATTGCTAATATAGCAACAGGAGCAACTCTCGATTTTTGTGCCGACATAATATAAACACGTCGTTATTCCTTGAATTTTCAATTCAACTGAACTTGCAAGTGAGTGTCACTTGCAAGCAGTGCAAACAAAAACAAAAAATGAAAGCACGTGTAGACATTAATGCAATATATTGCACGAAATAGTCATGCAAAAGTTTGCGTGCAAAACAAAAATTGATTGAAGCAAGTAATTTGCATGAAATATTTGCATTGGTGTGAACATTTGTGCAAACTTTTGCTGCAAATTATTTTTAACTTGCTGCAAATTGTTTGCATCGTGTGTACCTAGCTTTAGAGCTAGAGTTTCCAAATTTTAAATGTAGATTCCTATGTACTTAATAGAATTCCCATTTTTTTACAGGCAGAACGAATCATCGCAGACCCTATATAGTATATATATTCTTGATCAGGACGACGAGCTGATATAGCCCTGTCCGTATGTCCATCCGTCCGTCCGTATGAGCAAACCGATCTCAGAAGATATAAGAGCTAGAGAGCTGAAAATTGGCATGCATACTCGTGTATGCCATATTTTATTTTTTCGATAACTCATCCGATAACTTTTTTATCGAAAAAATCGACTTTGTTTTTTCAACCGAATTTTAAAGCTTTTAGAGCTGAAAACTTCAAATTTGCGTTGTATGTAAATTTAATGGATACAAAGATTTTGTAATTTACAGATTTTGGATACCACGCCCCATTCGCCCCCAATTCGTAACGTAAACGTATTTCAAGTACTAGAGACTTGTGCTTTGGAATGTACACACAACCATATAATCACGCTCTAAAAGTTTCATAAAGATAGTTCAACATTAAGAGAAATTATTCAACTCATAATGCCCACACTGCAGCGCAGCCCAAGCGCTTACTGCTTACTGCGCAGTTAGCAGATCGCGTTCTAATACGTTCGTGTGTATGTATGTGTGCCGAAAAGAAGTGCAGTCTCGACTAGAGTCTTCTTACTTGTTCACTTATAAGATACTAGCTGGCCCGGCAAACATTGCATTGCCCTATCCATTATTTCTAGGTAAAAAATTGTTGAAAGCTATGTTGTTCAGGTTGGGATACACTCTGATTAATTTATTAATCGGATTTTCATTCAAGCACCTTGTGGTAAACGACATTCTTCGTTTCTAGGTCGGGTGCAAGAACAAATAATGCGGATGGTTTGCCAACACGTGAGCATGCCACGTACAATTGACCATGAGAAAAACACGCGTTTTCTAGATTGAGGCCACAAATAGTCAAAGATTGGCATATGTCATTGCATCCATATGACGCGGGCTACCTGTGTATGTCGCTGGTAAAATAGTCAATCGACCAACATTTTCAAAATCTCCTTCTGTGATTATTGCATCGTGTAAATGAATATACTCTTCCGAACGCAATATAGCTTGATTTAAGCAGATGAAAGTTAGGCGCTCCGTTTCGATTTTCACGTACATGTCAACGCAGTATTGTTGAAACAGTCGACGAAATCGCAACAAATAATTGTCAGAATTTTCACGAATCATCAAACGAAATGCGTAATAATTCATCTAACCTTCTTGGTAGTTTCCTTACCTGAAACAAATACAGTAAAAATTGTATTTTAGAACCCCTAATAGGTTTACGATTCTTACAGCTACGCTCTACTAAATTAAGAGTGATAACTTTTTTTGTGTACCAAAAGCAAGCAGAACAAACACACAAATGTATATAAAGTTAAAATGAAAACAATGATATTACCATTCAATGGATTAATCATTTTGATATTAAAGTGATATCCATCGTCTCCTTGCCAACACATCAGCGGGTATTGTAAAGCGTCATATGAACGGTGCGTTTCAGATATTCTTTGTAGTTGCCCAGTACTGCGTCGCTTAAGCACAATATCGCGTGCTTCCAAGCTTTCACCAACAATCAGGATTGCCACTTCATCGATTGTTGAAGCATTAAATGTGCGTTCATGTGTTCCAGCTGGTCTTTTATCTGCTCTGATTACCTTTTCCTAGGTCCGTGTATATCACGCGCATATCAAGTTTTTCTTTATATATCGATAACAACTCCCGATATTTTATTATCGATTAAAAACCTTATCGAAAGCTAGTTATTTAATTATATCTCCTACACCTTTAGAGCTAGAGCTTGCAAATTTTATATGTAGACTTATATG